CACACACACAGACACCCTCCCCTCCCCTTTCCTTGCCGGTTAGCCGATCCCCTCTGAGGTGACCCCCCAAAATCATGGGCCTGTCCTGCCCTTTGCTGGCAGCCCACCAGGCAGGGCCTCTCTCCCGCCGTGGGTCTGGGCAGCGCCTGGCATGACGGGGCCCTGATCTCAGCTGGGGCAGGGACTGTCTTTGCCCTGGCCCTGTGCAGCGTGGGCACCTTTCAAGCCAGCCACAGGGCCTGGCGGGATAAGAAACCAAAGCCGATTATGGAGGAGACAATCCGATGGCCTCCCCCTGCCGGGGGGGGGGGGGTCAGATCTCATCCATCCCTCCCCGCCCCCCAGGTCAGACCTGCCAGAGCCGGAGCTGGAGCCAGACCCAGAGCCGGTATCCCCGTTTCCCTCAACGCTCGCAGGTCTGAGATTGGGGTGGGGGGGTGGGAGGACGCCCCTCTCCTATCCCTGAAGACTGACAGCCAGAATGAAAAGAGGGGCTGGGAGCCAGGATTCCTGGGTTCTCTCCCCTGCTCTGGGAGGGGAGGGAAGTCTAGTGGTTAGAGCCGGGGGTGGGAGGGGCTGAGCGCCAGGACTCCTGGGTTCTCTTCCTACCTCTGGGAGGGGAGTGGGGTCTACTGGTTAGAGTCAGAGGGGCTGGGAGCCAGGACTCCTGGGTTTTCTCCCTGGCTCTGGGAGGAGAGTCTAATGGTTAGAGCCAGGGGAGGGAGGGGCTGGGAGCCAGGACTCCTGGGTTCCACGTGTCCAAGGGGAAAACATGAACAAGTCCATCTCCTCCCCATGCCTCAGTTTCCCTCTCTATGACCAGGGAGGACACAGGGGGCCTGTGGCGCTCAGTGAATTTTTCTCTCCGGGCCCAGCCGGAGACCGGCCACACACCACCCATGAACGCGACGGGGCGGGGAGACATGTAAGCTTGGGGATTGGAAGGGGGTGGGGGGGTGCGTTAAGGGGCAGGGGGCAGTGTGCGGGGGCGGGGTGTAGTGTGTTTAGGGCAGAGTGCCTGTGCGCTCAGCCCATCCAGTCCTTGTTAATCCCTAATGAGCTAATCCTGCTTTATCGGGGCGGGGGAGGGGGCTTAATTAGCAGTTGTTGCTTCCCTCACTCCCCCTTCCCTACTTGCTGGGGTCCCTCCTTGCAGGGGGGTCTCTACTCTGCCCCCCCCC